AATGGCATTTATTTAAAACAGCTGCAGAAGGTCAGACTGTCATTCTCAGAGTTCAATTCAGTCAGTCAGCTGAAGTTCTCAGCACGTTCCCCATAATTATATATATCAAAATGGGCTTCTGACTGGCGAGTCCCTCTCAACTTCTGCATCCCTTTCCCACCCTAACATTTTACTCATCTTTCATAGAATATAAACACACCACTATGGCTGCCTAGAACACAGTGGTTAACCATGCGGGCTGACTATGCCATTTTTAATCACGGTAGAGTTGGCATATCCCGCGACATGTGGTGAGTTTGGGTTTTTTTGATAAAGACACTGTGTGCGCCTTTAGTATGAAGGAGTTTTCTGAATGAGCTGAATCCATGCTCACAACCAGTTGCCTGCCTCACCATCATCTGAACTAAGAACCCCATACATTCAGTGGGCACCCAAAAGTACTACTGTGTGTCTCTTTCTGCATAATTATATCTACATAGACAGCGTCTACTGTTGACTGGACATCCACAGTTCCGTGCATCTATCTGTGCATGCCTCATTTATGCTTGCAAACACCTGCTTCATGCATGCACATATTCATGCACATAAATTAGGCATGTGAAAATGTGCAGTTATGTACACCTAACTGAAAACCTGGCACTCACTATAGATTTGCATATATGTAAATATATGTACACACACTATATATAAAATTATATCGCATGTGTTATATATAGCATATATGTATATATTAACATATGCATACACAGACTGCAAAATATTTGTAGATCATACATTTAGTAGTATCCATCCATTGCCTTTATCTTGCAACTTTGCCAATTTCTCTTGCACTCTGCCCAGTAATAATCCAACTCTACTGGGTCTCATTCTAAGATTCCAAAACACTGAGCTGCTCGCCAAACAACCACCATTACATTTGTATACCCCGCCCCCCCCATAATGAACCTGCCACACATTTCCCCCCACCGTAACTGTGGAATTAGCTTTGAGAATTACACTGGCCTTATCTACAGGCTGGGCAATATTAAGTCCTCCACCAGTGGCAGGTTTAAGGTCCCATATCTTGTGGTCCATCAGGACTAGGAAAAGATTAAATGCTACTGGAGAAGAGCAAGGACAGACCCAATTTTCTAATCAGATAGAGTATCTGTTTATAGCTGAGACAAGACACAAGATTTCAGACTAAAGCTACAATATTATGACATAAAAAGTTTTAGATAATTTTTAAGAGGTTTCTAAAATGTATTCATTTTCCCCATCCTCCACCTTAACTTAGATAACTTAGCTTTAAAGGTGGAAGGATACAAGAAAAATTGTACCATTGGTATTCGCAGAAACCGGAAATCATTGATCAGTTTTTCTGTAAAATATGCGGCACACAATGTACCTGGTGGTGTAATCACTGCTGGTCAATGATACAGTCATTCCAAACTCATGCCAATAAAAGCTTTATAACACCCGACACCCCTTTCTCCCTCACATTTTAATCTAACATACACACGATATTGAAAATGACTAGCTCTGGAGTACTGGCAAAACCTCAGCTGTTAGAACTATGAGCAGTAGGCGTTCAATACAAACACCCACAGGTTGGTGGCCAAGAGAGGAGAGAGAAGACTAAAGTTTTGAGAGTCAGTGAATCTCACCTTTGTCGTGTGGATGTGCCAGAAATGTTAGATGTAAATAAGAAAGCTAAACATGTTCAATATAAACATCTTTAAATGTTTTATCTGCCCATTAAACAAGTCTCTAAAATGCTCAGAGGACAAGTATAGGAAACAAATTCACCCGTATATTGCTGTCACCTGAAATCAAACAACTCTGCTTAAAATATGTGACTTGGACTCAGTCAAATAAAGATTAGTTTCCATCAGATGGGAGCACCAAAGATTTAAAAAAACCCTGGTTCATGATAACCAAACAGAACATGGTCATATAACAAATCTACATGCCTATGGCTTTTTATAATTTGCCCTGTAATCTATATCTTTTCCAGCTGGGAGATCCCTTCAAACTAAAACTACTTAACCACTCTTCTTCTTGTAGTTCAATATGCAAGAGGTAAAACCCTGATCTGAAAAACACAACTTCAAACTTGAGATTTATTTTATTCTTTCATCAAAAAGAATTGCGACCAGGAGTGCTTTTACAGTGGAGCAAACAGATAAAATGCCAAAGATTGCCTTTCTAAATGACAAATCTACAAAAATGGAATAAGAGACGTTAAAATAAATCAGGGGTCCGAGACTAATGAAGCAAAGGTCAGAGATCCCACACACTAATGACGATAATAGCCCACTGTGGGAAAATAAAGGTGCTTTAACATAAAACATGAAGGGAATTATCAGCGTTTTCCCAAGCAAGGGCTAAACTGCTTAAAATTTGGTCCCCTACATTTGCATTCTCAAAGTAGAGTAGTGATAGCTTGAATGAACACGTTCCCTCTTGGGGTGCAAACACGGCTCCCCAAGACAGTAGTGAAGGAATCCACTTATTTAGAAATCTTTTGTGAAATCTGTGCTTGTCTTAGCTACTACTACTTTATTAGACCCACATATTACTTCATCTTTCCTGATCACTGTACAAATATAAAAGATGAAAATAGCAACAAATTGGACCCTCAGTGCCGGCCCCATGAGTAATGGTACATTGTAGTGCTAGATACAATTTTTAGGGGAGTGTATTTAACATTATATATTCACAATCTTTCTCTGACTTCTTTCCTATTTTACCCAACTTCCCCTTCCTATGAGCAAATCTCATATCAAGTGAAGGGGAAGCTCTTTCCTCCCTACAAAGTATAATTGAAGGAGGTGGGGGAAAGAGACAGCAAAATAAACAGTATTAATCTTTACACACCAGTTATACACTGTACCTAGGTAGCAATGCCTAAAAATCTTCTCCCTTTTCCAACGAATAGTTAAACAGCTTTCTAAATGGCATGTGAACCAGAATGCACCAACACTTTCAAGATACATTTATTCTTCTACCCCCATTTAGTAATAAAATTGAAATCGATTAAACAGAGAGGAGCCCTGACCAAACCCCCGATCTGGAAAATCCAAACTTCAGGAAAGTTTAGGATCTGGCCCCTCTGTCTACAGGATGAAACGCAGCCTTCCAAACTCTGGGAACATCAAGACCCAGGTGTTGCAGATCAGGCTCATCTCTATGGTTCAACAGCAATTGGATTAAAATAAATAGAATGGAAATGCCAATGCTAATAGCAAAGATGGCTTTGATTTTAGTGTCTTATTACTTGTGGATAAACTGCAGAGGAGATAGGAAAGAAGATAATGGGAGCAGGAAAAGGGTTGAATGGGTGACATTATGGATCTCCGTTATTTGAGAAAACAGAAATAGATTTAGCTCCCCAGCATGTTTCTATTGGGATTTCTTATTGCCTGGCCTTCAATTGGTTTTTAAGTTGCTCCTAACACGTTCAAAGGGCGTAAACATTCTGGTAAGTGGGTTTCAGAATCGCAAGAAGAGGGGCTAAAAGCAAAAGTGAGGAACTGAAGTGGACAGATTAAAAGAGCAGAATCAGCGTAAAAAATGACTGTGGCGTCTAGAAGTCTTACTGTATTCCTTTGTGTTTCAATGGCTTGGCGGGGTCAGGATCATCCTCTGCAAAATGCTACCACATCACCTATAAGCGCTTAGTGTCAAACATGTCAGCTTCGAATGCCAATCAAAGTCAGACTAGCTCTGCTGGATATCTGGGAGATATTTGTTAAGCATCAACTCTGGGCACCTTGTACCCTAGTGTGTGAAGGAGATAAAATGGGGTCTATCTTACAAAGGAAAACATGAGACTTTTCTTAGTTTTAAACTTAGGAGACAGACTGGAACACCAAGCGAGAAGATTTTTGTTGTTTCTTTAAGTACAGTGCATATTATACTGTACAAGACAGAGAGCTAGCAACAAGCAGGGGATGTTATTCACACTGGCCTGATCTTGTCACATTGCCTCTCACGGTGTGAGTCCTAAAGACCAAAGGCCCAAGCAGTGCCTTACCCCTTTCCAGCCATTTCTGACCAAGCTTCCTTGAATAAGTACCTGAGGACTCAAACTTCCTGGGAGACAAGTGTACCTGAATCTGCTCATATAAGTAACTTGTGCCTCATTAACCCCTTTGCTATTCCTCCCATCTCAATGGGAGGTGAGGGGGGAATTGGTTACAGGCATGAATATTAGATAGCACAAAAACGTAGGTTTGCCAGGGCCTAAGCCACATCTATCAAAGCAATGACAAGCCTTCCACATCTAGTGTGCATTACATTATCTCCAGGGACAATGTCTGGGTGGCACTCTCTTTGAAAGACTGGGAAGGCCACCAAGTGGATGGGCTGTATATTTTCCCTGCAGACATCCCTTGACTTTTGGAATATGCCACTAGAAAGAGGTAAGCTATCTCCTATTCTACAAAAGCACTGGTCTACACTGCTATTATCATCCCTTACTAATATGTCTAAGAAAATGATGTGCTAATTTAAACAACTGTGTTACTGCTTTATCTAAAGTAGTGTGTTAATATTCTGTTTGTCTGGATAAACCATCCTTCCTATGATACAGTAGACTTTCCTTTTCTAAAGATTCCTTTGCAACAATTTCTGAATGTCTTCCTTTACCGCAGAAGGATATGATGGACCTTTACAGTGTCAGAAACTTGTTACAATTTAGCCTGGTTCCCCTTATTTCTCAGTGCCCTGGTATGTTTCATGCTAGGAAGACTGGTTTAAAGAGATCATTGAAAGGTGAATGGAAAAGCATTTTAAACTTGGAAGAATACCAGCTTTGAAAAAGCATGTGTTATAGGCTTAAAAATGGCAACTTGTTTTAAAACAAAGTATTTTAAACAGCGGGGGGCTGGATAGCACTTCTGGAAATCAGACTCTCAATTCCTACTTCACCGGCCTGCCAAGGGACTGGAGATCAGATTACTGTGTCCCCTGCTACAGATGGTAAGATCACCAACACCCAGCAGCAGAATGCTGAGTGTGCAGTTTCATGTTCAGTTGTAGATGTTAGTGAAGTCATCCAAGGTTGGAGGAAGATACCTGTCAATATCTAAGTCCAGACGGCAGTGTGTGAGTAAAGATGGCGCCGTTATGCAAACTACTTAAAAAAAAAAAAACCACCACCAAAAATAGCTTTATCATTTTGAATGCACATGTGAAAGCATGATGCTGCTGGCTTAGGCTGGTAAAACGAACATTAAAAGCTTTTTCCATTCTCCTTTAAATGCCCCTATTGCAACAAAGCATAAAAACAGAATTCTAAAGGACCAGGAAAGCCCATCGATGTCCACCTGCTTGAGCCCTTGGGGCTTCTCTCACCTGATCACTGGGGGACTCTGGCTTTCGGGCCAAACCTACCTCTTTTGGACACCCATGGGATATTACATTTTCCCCCCCAATTTTGTCCACATAAATTTTATTATTTTCTCTTCCCATTCTGACCTGAACAGACATACAGAGCCCCAAGAAGTACAGAAACTTGTGAAATACATGAAGATCAGGTAGATTAGCAAATTAGTGTGCTGTTGTGCACCTGACGAACTTCATACGCTTGTTCCTCTGACACGATTCAGATCAGATTTCAACTTTCCCTGAAATACACCCTTCTCCCACCTTCATATTACCATATGCCACTTAAAAATCACTTCTCTTTTTGCCAGAAACCTTGCCATCTACTTCTCTGTGCCACAATTTCAGTTTTTAGAAGACTTCGGAAACCAGCATCAGTCTAGTGCTACCAAAATATTGAATCAAGTATTAAAACTGGTAGATGGATGAACTGTCCAAACTCCTTCCACATTATCATTGTTGCTCCACAAAGCAGCCAAGTTCAGAGTCAAAGGAGCCAGGCCAAGCCCACCTCAGAGAACGACATTAAGTTTAGCTATTAGACAAATCTGATCTCCCCTCCCGCCCCAAGGCTGTGTCTCAGTCTATGAAAGCATCATAGCTTCTAATGTAAAATATGTTTACGCTACTGAGAGACATCCTCCTTTTCTTCCTAATAGATACTGTACACCTTTTTTTTTTGTAAGCCAAATATGCCATCATCTCATTCCGATATGTTCTTCAAAGGTTTGCATCAAACAAATGGAAATACAGTTCACTGCTGGGAATATTTTCAATGTGCAATTATTTGTAAACCTCAGATCCTAACTACTTGCACATTATTTAGTTCACATCCATTATAGTTTATAAATTAACAGAGGTGTCATTTGTCTGTACAAAAATCAATGCATATTTATGAACTTGTTTATTCAAATAGATTTACATACATATAATCTAAAGACACAATACAAAATCTGTATAATTTAGGCAATGCATCACAAGAGTGACCAAAAAACTCAACACACTTACTTGGCAAAATGACATAACGTATTTCTTGTGACTGAAAAAAAATAGTAGCCTTTAATGCATTTATTTATTTTACTAAATGTACTTGAAATGTTTTTCCTTAGCAGTATTCATTATTTCTTTTTGTGTTTCATAGTTATCCTTATTTATTTTTTCCATTTTGTTTTTACACCAAGGAGACTGCAGTCAAATAACACTCAGCAACCGATTTCCTCTCTTTGGACTGAAAAATTAAACAGATACTAAATTATGACAGTGAATTTAGAAAGGAGGGCTCCAAGGGCTTGAAAGAACATGTCTGAGATAATATGATGCTTCTAAGAATATTGCAATCACATCCAAGCAATCACCGAAGCGTGCCATGTAACTACCTCCTCAGCTAATATGCTTTTTTCTCCGTGATGACTAATCATGTTCTATTAAACAGCAGTAATGCTGGAAGAACTCAACTATACAAGTGTAATGAAGCCAGTATTCTCCCTGGACAGATTAGCTACAACTGATTTGACACATACCATCATAGGAGCTTCAAACCTGACAAACTCTGTGCTTGCTTCTGATTTATGCCGTCAAGCTCTTCGGAGAAGAGAATGAAATCCAAGTGTTCCGTTTGGTAGAGGTGAAATGTACTGATGTGCTTAACTGTCAGTTAAGGAAAGTTACCATTTCTTCTTTCATCTCCTCTTCCTCCTCCTTTCTTCTCCCTCCACCCCTTCTTTCAACACTTGTAGAGCCTCTGCCTGAAGACAACTAGTAAAATGGTCCCATGTCATGTGCTTTAATTAGAGACCTCACTACCACTCTCTCTCACAAACCCTCCCTTTTTCAGTTTTCCTTATTCAAGACCTTTTATTAAAATAAAGGGTTTCTGCAGCCCCCTTTTCTCCTCTGGTCCCTTCACACTGTCCAGATGTGATTTTTCTGGAGAGGACAGAGATTGAGGGGAAAAGGGAGATGGGGAGGTATAAGACTCACAGGTCAGAGCTGGGAAGAAAATGGAGCAATATGAGGCTGTGGATGTTACTCAGGTCAGTGAAGAAATGAATAAGTTCCTCAGATGATGGTGGGCATTCTTCCACTGCTGTTGTTCCTGTTATTGTTCTTCCTGGACAAATTGGGAGTAGCCATCAGGACAAAGCGCTCATCAGGGCAGCCATACTGCAGGAGAACATCAATGCATTCCTGGCCTGTGGCTTGCCTGGCATAGGCTAACGCCGTGTTCCCATGGGCATCACGGGCCATAACATCCACGCCATACTGTGGAAAAAACAGACGCCATTTGAGACCCTGCTTCTAACAAAGCGTTAAAATGGAGTGAAAGAAAACAGCACAGCTAGACCTGAGTTTAAGGGGAGGGATGCGACAGACAGAGAGAAATACTCAAAGATAGACGCTCTTTATTTTAAGGGGTTGTAAATCTGAACATGACAAACACGCTTCATGCACATACAGCTTTCTACTGGAAGATCCTCAACTGCTGCCGGTCACACAAATAATCTCTCACCATTGCATGTTATGCGGATTTTCCACAGTGTGTACACCTATCCCTCTCCCCATGCCTCACTCCAGTTTTTACCACATGTAAACAGATGTGACGAAAGACACATTTTACAAGTGATCTCCAAGAAGGTTTAAGTGCCATCATTTGAAAGGAATAGGAACATTTAGACTAAGGAAAAGAGGGAGATACCTTGAGCACCCCACTGGAATATGCTCATAGCAATATTCTGAAAGGCCATATTGAAATAATGTTTGCTAGACAATAGGGACGAGTGAAAGGTAACTCAGCACTGCATACCCAACACCACAAGGCAGGTACTCACCCAAATTAAGAGCTGAACTAACACTACATTTCCTTTCCTACATGCCAAGTGAAGGGCTGTGCGCCCATCCCCATCTCCGCAGGTCTCATTCACTTCTTCCCGGGTTCCATGGGCCAGGAGCAGGATGACAGTCCTCAAGTCCTCATCAGCTGTAGCTTGTAGCAGATGCTGGCCTAAAGAAAGTTCCAGGCACTGCAGCGGGGCAAGGAAGAGCTTCTGTTCATATTTAGCACGTATCCAGCGCTCTTTTTCTTCCCTAGAGAAGCAAAAAGAAACATGCCATTCAAAAACTGGTTCCATTGCCTTTGTGTGATACATAGTCACCTTTGGAGACAAACAATCCAAAACCACACTGCCATACAGAGAGGCTAATTAGCAAGAAAACATTTTCTTCTTGTAAATGTCAGCAAAAAAGCTTCTCTCAAAAACGTTTCCTTTACGCTGGATACGTGCGACAAAGTTTATGACATCTACACATTTCTCCCCTGATTGTACCTGGCCAGAGAGCTACATTACCTATTGAGTTCATGTACCAGCCTTTCACCTCCAGAAACAGAGGCTCAAGCATGCCTTGGGTCACAAGTGGAACAAGTTTGGTGCCATGCAGTTTGGCATAGGGCAGCAAAACCGGCCATCTCTACTCAAGAGAGACCCAAGACTGGAGCAGCCAAGCGGAGCTCCAGGTCAGGACTGAGATGTGCTGGCAAAGTTACACAGGGGAAGTGTGCACAGAATTTGCCTGCATTGGGCCTAGACGTAGCCATTGGCAGCACTAAATTCCCCAAAGTTCACTTCCATGAAAAAACGGACTCCTGCTTGCATCTAAAGAAAGAAAAGGGAAATTACTGAAAGGTACTGCCTTGCTTTTTCAGGCTGTCAGATTCGGCCACTGAACAATAACATCCCAGTTTGTTTCAGAACGGGACAGAGGTTCAGGAGGTTTTTGTTTTTTAAGGAAAATCTCAGGACTTTGAAGCATCATTTCCTCTCACTGTACCAAGTAAGCACCAAAAGCTTCCTAGATACAGTTGAATTGTAGGATAATGCCACATTTTACAAGTAACTCTCCAATTTCTATTAAAATCTTTTCAACACACACTGATGTGCTTTGGGGGATCTGGTCACAGGCAAATTCCCATTTATAGGTGCCCTTTGCCTAGTACTTCAGGTATCTGTACGGTAATCAGTCTGTCCTGTGAAAACCACATACAGCACATAGCAGGAAAGCTACTTACTGATGACATTTTTTCCCTCTCAAGTACAGAAAGAAAAGCTCTGTTTACACCTTTCAGCAGTGTTTACACTACTCCCAGTAATCTAGTGTCAGGTTAGCCCTAATCTGTTTTTAAATACTTATGTAAACAGATAGTTCCAACAGCAAATCTGGATTAGTTTTGCATCACTTCCTGGTACATGTGGAGTGACCTTACATTGACCCCTCTGGATGCTTTCATGCAAAGCTTTCCAAAGCATGCACTTTTCTACACAAATGACAATTCAACCTTTAACTATGCAATATACAGTCATTTTTCCCCCATAAAGAAAAAGTTTTTCAATTTATTCCAAAAATTATGGCTTGGACAATCCTTCAAATGGCCACCACACTCTGAATAATATTGAAACCATCTTGCGTGCTGAAAAATATCCTGTGATGCTGATGCTTAAAAGTACATTCTATTTTCAAATATTCAATACGAGAAAAAAAACTTTTGAATAATGTTAAAATTGTGACACAAACAGACATTGACAGGGAAGGTTAATACTCCACTTCTCTAGTGCTGTTGTGTACAAATAAAATCAAACCCAACAAGTACCAATGCTGTGAGAAGGATGGAATAGCATAGCTCCAGCTGCCTAAAATGTCATGCATGTTGTGGAGTTGTGTCACATGATGCCATTTTGGTATTCCATGCACTCTTAAAAAATAACCACAGTTGGTTGTAAAACTATTATTTATCCAGGTCTTGTACATCTCCAAGTCAATGGAGTAAACAGGTACAGTACTTGGAAAGCCTCATTTAAAATGTTTTAATATTTGTTAAAAATAAAAGTATGTATAACATACCAAGTATTTTATAAATATATAATTTACTCTTACAAAATGGGCAGGACTCCCAGATTAAGTGCATTTCACAGCATTATTTTGGGACCACTGCCTAGGTCAGGGGACAGTCAATTTATCTCTCTTAAAATCATACATCCAATTTTTTTTTCAAAAGCTGCTTTTACCCATCAGCTCCACAACAAAACTTTTAAATCTTAAATTTAAGGACTGAAAGGGCACTGGGGACCGCCAGCAACAGCAACCTGTAGTTGTTTCTGCAACAGGTTTTCCCAATTCCAATCCCAGCTGTGGCATCAGTTGTGGGAACCATGACTTGAACAGAAATTGCTCTCTGTTCAGAGAAAGAAGCTGTTTTGAACAAACCTTCTATTCTACTCACAATCCAGCTATGAGAAAAAGGATTTTTGTTTTGTTTTTATTAAAGATGAGCATAACTTCAGTACGAGCCATGAGAGCGGATACCTCAGCGTGTACAGAAGTAGCAACTAAACGTGCCAGGATCAGCTGGAAGTTTTCAGAGCCTTAGGTTGCCAAAGTTTTACAAAATTCACGAGAATGGATTTTATGGTTACACTATTTTTTAACAGTTTGTCTATTTTTCCTCCACAGTATTTACATACGCTCCAAAAGCAGTTTTTACAGAGAAACATTAACTCTTCTAAAAATGTGTATCTTATGCAAAGGGGAAAAAAAGCTGCTTGAGAGTGATGCAAAGGCTTATCAGACAAAGAGAAGCTGTCATTTTTGGATGGCCTGGGGGAATCAGGAATGAGCCATTAAGCTCCAAACTGGGACCACATTATCACCCTGTTTCAAAAAGAGTAAGGAGGACAGACCACAAACTTGTTAGGTTATTATGGGTAATCCATTAATAGGGTCTGTCTATGGGGATGGGAACAGGCCACCCACCCTTGCTGTCCTGTTGGCTTAGGGGGGAAGGCAAAGTGCAGGACACAACCGGTCCCCCTCAAAGATTTCTACTGCTACATAACCTGGTGAAACAAACCACTGTCTTGCTCTCTGACTCTTACTGTGTGCTGTGAGCAGAGTTCTGTACAACCATAGTAAATCTGTTGCAGGGCTGGGAAAGGCTAGAGTTACTGGTAATCCAAGATATTCAGGAAATGGGAGAGTCTACTTGCAAGAGCAGGGTTCTGCAGTCTATATTAGACTCTACCACTGTGTCATCTCATTGGCTTGCTCTGTGACCTTGAGCAGGTTACTTAATTTTACTTTACTTCAATCTCTTCAATGTGTAACATGGGCATAATACTCACCTACCTCCCATGGGTACTGAGTCTCTTAATTAATTAGGGCCAGATTCTGCCACCCTTGCTCACATTGAGTAAAGCCTTGATCTATAAGTAGTCCCACTGAAATTAGTGGGACTATTTGTGAAGTAAGATACAATTCAGGGTGTGTAAGCGTGGCAGAATCTTGTCCTTACAGTCTGTAAAGCACCTTGAGATCCTCAAATGGAAGATACTTCAATGTCAATAATTGTTTCTAGTTTGCAAGACTATTTAAAAACAATTCTAGACACAGTAGTTATTGGGGAATATACTGGATAGCAAGTGTCAGTCTGTTATACATCTAGACAGACAATAGCTATTTAAGTACATTCTTGATGAATAACACAGAAACTTTCATCTGAATACCACATGATGTTAATGACCTGTCTGGTTAAAGATTCCCAAAATTCCACTTGAGGGTTCTAGCGGAAAGCCATGGAAGAGCAATCAGCGCAAACACAAATAAAAAGGCTTTAAATGTTTAGCACACCCTGGGGCAGCTCATTTCTGACCTCTGATGGCAAGTGAGGTTTCACCTATAACGCAGTAAGATTTTTTGGCTCCCGAGGACAGCGTTATATCGGGGTAAAGGTGTATTACTCTTTTGAGTGAAAATCCAGAAAGCCTTACAGACATCCTCTCCTGCTGTATTTCCCCTAATACAGGCTCGCTCTCCTTTGGTGTGAGTGATTTAATTTAAAAGGGAAAGTTCTCACGATTTTCCTGGAAGACTGTTTTGGCTCCACTGTACCTGCTCACCCTAGGAATTATGACACTAAGACATAAATACTGTAACTGTTTCTCTGATGTCACAATTTCATTTCTGGGATCCACAGCTTGTCCTGGTTGAGCTTTCATTTTCCCAAAGGAAGGCCAGTCCAAGAGCAGAGTTGTCAGCAGTAGATCACTTAACCTCATTCCAATCCCCTGGAGGACCACTGTTCACATCCCCCGTTAGCTAATGAGCTAAAAAATGAATGATTGGAACGGTCAGCAATAAGCAGAAAGAGGAGGCATAGTACTTCATTTCAGCCTGTGCTGACATACCTTTAAATAAATCAACTGCATAAGAGTGAGAGGAAATGAGAGAAAGAGCAACTAATCAGGAGAAAGAGACTGAACCAATCCCTAAAAATAAATGTGCAACTAAACATCTGCTAGTAAATATTTTTCTTCTTTTCACGTGTAACCCTGTTAACCCCTTTTCTGGGTAACCTCGCCTGTGCTAGAGACCCCAGATGTAGCCCTAGCATGCCAAATCCTAATCTTAAACAAAATTAGCTTGCTTGTTTACTGTGACTTCCAGAATTCATTAACATACTTTTCTCTGGATCAGAGAGCAGGCCAAGGCCAGCTCCTGGGAGATGTTACAACATGATGTGTCTGGATCTTCTCTAGCTTGCCTGACCCAGGAGAATGCATGTGCTGCCTCTCCCAGTATGCTGAAGGACACAGCCGTTCTTCAATGACCTTCAAAATATAGCCTACTTGCGCTGTACTTTTTTAAAAAACACACGCGCACAGGGTGGATTAATAATCATCTACAAACTAATGGATAAACAAATAACACTAACAACAACAAGCAGAAGTACAGTAAATTAGATAAGGTGGCGCTTGCACCTTTTACCTTTATTCAGGTGAATACCAATCCATTTGAACCTTGTTTATTGATATAAACTCAAAGCCTTGTTGTCTATATAAAGGTCTGATACAACTGAATAATCATTATCATGTTGTTCCTCTGTGTCAAGGAAGTGATGATCCACTAAGTCTTGACCGAAAAGCACCATCAATTTCCTTATTTTAGTATGTCTCCATCATCACAGAACTCTAATCCACTTTAGTGTGAATAATGAAAACTGGGCCATGTTTCTGATACTGTATGTGAGCCAAAGTTTA